TATCTATCTATCTATCTATCTATCTATCTATCTATCTATCTATCTATATCTATCTATCTATCTATCTGTCTGTCTATATCTATATATATGTACATATAATTTTTTCCCCTCCCACTACCCTAATACTGACAAAGGTCTCATGAGTTTCAAATGTCATCTTTCCATGCAGGAATGTAAACAGTTCAACCTTAATAAGTCTCTTATGATTTTCTCTTTCCTGTTTACCTCTTCAAGTTCCACTCGAGTCTTGTATTTGAAAATCAAATTTTCTATTCTACTCTGGTCTTTTCATCAAAAATGCTTGAAAGTCCTCTATTTCACTGAATGACCATGTTTTCCCCTGCAGGATTATACTCAGTTTTGCTGGGTAGGTGATTCTTGGTTGTAATCCTATGTTCTTTGCTCTCCGGAATATTATATTCCATGCCCTGCAGTCCCTTAATGTAGAAGCAGCTAAATCTTGTATTATCCTGATTGTGGTTCCACAATACTTGAATTGTTTCTTTCTGGCTGCTTGTAATATTTTCTCCTTGACCTGGGAACTCTGGAATTTGGCTACAATGTTCCTAGGAGTTTTCCTTTGGGAATCTCTTTCAGGAAGAGATTGGTGTATTCTTTCAATTTTTATTTTGCCCTCTAGTTCTAAAATATCAGGACAGTTTTCCTTGATAATTTCTTGAAAGATGATGTCTAGGCTGTTTTTTTGATCATGGCTTTCAGATAGTCCAATAATTTTTTAATTCTCTCTCCTGGATCTATTTTCCAGGTCAGTTGTTTTTCCAATGAGATATTTCACATTGTTTTCTAATTTTTCATTCTTTTGGATTTGTTTTACAGTGTCTTGATTTCTCATAAAGTCACTAGCTTCCAATTGCTCTATTCTAATTTTTAAGGAAGTATTTTCTTCAATAATCTTTTGGACTTCCTTTTCCATTTGGCCAATTTTGCTTTTGAGGGCATTCTTCTCCTCATTGGCTTTTTGGACCTCTTTTGCCATTTGGCTTAGGCTATTTTTTAAGGTGTTATTTTCTTCAGTATTTTTTTGGGTCTCCTTTAGCAAGCTGTTGACTTGTTTTTCATGATTTTCTTCCATCACTCTCAGTTTTTCCTCTACTTCTCTTACTTGCTTCTCAAAATCCCTTTTGAGCTCTTCCAAGGCCTGGGACTGATTCATATTTTTCTTGGAGTCTTTGGATGTAGGAGCTTTGGCTTTGTTGTCTTCTTCTGGTTGTATGTTTTGATCTTCTTTGTCACCAAAGTAAGATAATATAGTCTGACTCTTTTTGCACTGCTTACTCATGATCCCAGCCAATTACTTGAGTTTTAAACTCTTTGTTAAGGTAAGAGTCTGCTTCCAATGTGAAGAGTGTACTGTCCCAAGCTTCAGGGGTTTGTACAGCTGTTTTCAGAGATACTTCTAGGGACCTGTAAATTTTCATTCTTCCAAGGTGGTATAATAAGGGGTGAGGTGTTTCCTCTCCACCGCCACAACAAGCTCCACCACGTCAGCGCTCCTCCTCGCCCCAGAACTGTGACCCAGATCCAAGCACCAGTAAAGTAAGAGATTCCTGCCTCAGCACTGGCAAAGAGATCCCTTCAATCCCCCTCTGATCAGCCACTTGATTCCCTCTCAGTCTGTGGGCCAGAAGCTCAGGAAAAAACCGTGGCCCCGGGCCACACTAGAGACTTGCGGCTGAGACCTAGCTCCTCTCTCACCGCAGCCACAGACTTTTCCCACTGATCTTCTAAGTTGTGTTTGGCATTTGTGGGTTGAGGAATCTGGAAACTGCCACAGCTGCCCACGATTCAGCCCTCTGAGACCTGCTCCATGTTCGCTGCGACCTGCGTGCCCACATCGCACTGCACTCCTCTCCCCACCCGGCATGATATAGCTTTCTGATCAACCATCCAAGCTGTCTTTGGCTGGAAATTTGTTTCACTCTGTCTTTTTGTGGGTTCTGCTGATTTAGAATTTGTTTAGAGCCATTTTTTTAGGTATTTGGAGGGCTTTGGGAGAGAGCTCAAGACAGTCACTGCTTTCCCTCCGCCATCTTAGCTCCGCCCCCTATATCATGACCCTGGAGTCTGTTTTTTTGCAAATACGTCTGGAGAGTGATGATGACCTTGGCTAGGGCAATGTTAGTTGGAATGAATACCATGACTTTGAATGGTATTTCAGGGGAAGACAACAGTTCATTTGAAAAAAATCTGGGAGTTTTTATTAAACTGAGCTTCAAGTAAATCAGCAGTGTGATATGGCAATCATAAGAGACAATGGAATTTGAGTTCAATAAAGAAATGTATAGCATCCAGAAGGAGGAAGATGCTGGCCCCCACTGTGGCTACCATGACCATGTCTAGATCTCTGATAAGAAAGAAAGAAGGAAGGAAGGGAAGAAAAAGAAAGAAAGGAAGAAAGGAAGGAAGAAAGGAAGAAAGAAAGAAAGAAAAAGAGAGGAGAAAAATAGCATGCTTCACTCTGTATTCAGACAATATCAGTTCTTTCTCTGGAGGTGGATAGTATGTTTCATCATTCATTCTTTGGGATTGTCTTGGATCATTGTATTGCTGAGAATAGCTGTCATTCACAGTTCTTCATCGTACAATATTGCTGTTACTCTTTATGATGTTCTCTTGATTCTGCTCACTTCACTTTGCATCAGTTTACATCTTTCCAGGTTTTTCTGAGATCACACTGCTTGTCATTTCTTATAGCACAATAATATTATATCACAATCATATACCACAGCTTTCAACAAGTATTTATTAAAGATTATAATCCAGGCACTCTGTTAGGTACTGAGGAGGATACAAAACAAAAATGAAACAAACAGCTGGGTGTGTGTAATAACATTTACACAGCGGAGTAAATGTGAAACATATACAAAGTCAATACAATATAATTTTAGGGGGGCATAGGGTATTACATAATAGCTAGTAGATATTATATATATGCATATATATTATATCATATATCTCATATCCATTCCATTATTCTTAGAAGAGTCTTGTGTTTATTTCCTCATATTTTTCTGGCAATGCCAGGGCTTTCTGTTCTAATTTCTGACCAGAAATCATGGAGACCACTCTGAGAAATGTTCTGATAAAAATCCTTGAGGACCTTATAGAAGAGGAACTCAAGAAATTCAAATTCCAGCTGGAAGACCCACCCTTGAAGGAGTTTGGCCCTGTGCCCCAGGGCCAGCTGCATCCTGCCCAGGCTGTGGATTTGGCAGAATTGCTGATTGGTCACTATGGGGTAAACTATGCAGTAGAAGTGACCAAAGCAGTTTTTGAAATCATAAACCATCAAGACTGAGACTTGGCTGAGAAACTGGAGCAAGCCATTGAGAAAGGTGAGTCCAGGCTTGAATAGAAACCTCAACCCTCACTTAGGGTCCCCACCCCATTCTTCTCTCTTTAGAAATGGAAAAACCAAACCAAACAAAAAAAAAACCTTTTATTTCTCAGCTGGAGATTCTAGTTACTCTTTGGCTAACTCCTTTAAAAAAACAGAGATAATTTGTTTCATTTGAAGTCATCTCAGAGGTGTATCAAAGTTCAAGTATAAAGGAAAAAATCAGTGGACTCATTTTCATGGCATCTGGATTCAAATTTTGCTTTTTCTATTTAATAGCTGTGGAACTATGAGTTACCATTCTGAGTCTCAGTTTCTTCATCAGGAAAATGGGGATGGGTTAAAGGAGATAGTGCATGTGAAATACTTTATGAACTTCTAAAAAAAAAAGCAAAGTTTGCATGTCAGCTATTTTTTCTTTGGACTTATTTTCTCAGATTTCTCCTACCAAATTAAGCTTTCTGATTCTTCCTGACTTAGCTTCCTGAAACTCTGCCCACAATGTGAAACAGTAAAACTTCACATTTACTATATATAGTTGCCTCAGGTTTTCCAAGCACTTTCCTCACAACTCTGTGAGGTACGTGAGTCCCAGATTAGGTTTCACATTTTACAGGTGAGCTGAGACTAAGAGAAATTAAGTGATCAACCAAAGGTTATTCAGCTGGTAACAGTAAAAACTGACATTTCAACTCTATAAGCAATCCGATTCAATGAACGATTATAAAATACCTGCTATGTGTCAGGCACAGTGCTAGGTGCTTGGGATACAAAATGCCAAAAAGGAAGCAGTTTCTGCCCTCAAGGAACATGAGTACAAGAGTACATATGAAGAGTAGCTAGGTGGTGCACTGGATAAAGCTCCAGCCTTGGAGTCAGGAGGACCTAAGTTCAAATCGGGCCTCAGACACTTGACACTTACTAGCTGTGTGACCTTGCTCAAGTCACTTAACTCCGATTGCCTCATCCAAAACAAGAAAAAAAAGAAAAAGAAAATAAATTAAAAATAGATAAATAAAAATAAGTCTTTAGGATCAGCTAGGTGGCGCAGTGGATAGAGCACCAGCCCTGAGTTCAAATTCGGCCTCAGACCAAACACTTGACACTTACTAGCTGTGTGACCCTGGGAAAGTCACTTAACCCCTATTGCCAAAAAAGAAGAGTACATATGAACCTAGATCTTCTTTACCCAAGTCTCATTCTTCATTTCAGTTGTTTTAAAGTTGTATCCAAATTTTTGTCCACATTTGGGGTTTTCTTGGCACAGATACTGGAGTGGCTTTCTGTTTTCTTCTCCAGATCATTTTACAGATGAAGAAACTGAGGCAAAGAGGGTTAAGTGACTTGTCCAGGGTCACATAGTAAGTGTCTGAGGTCAGATTTGAACTCAGGAAGATGAATCTTTCTGATTCCCTGGTACTCTACTCAATGAGCCACCTAACTGCCCTCATTCAAGTTTAGATCACTTTATACCTACCTGCTCTGTAAGAATAGGATGGGGCAATTAGAGAATCATTCTTTATGCCAATATAAATCCCTCACTATAACTAACCCAACTGCATGCCTCATTCCCAGAGTACATAGAATCAGGAGCTTAGCATAGTACATGACACACAATAGGCAATTAATAAATGCTAGTTTACTGTCCATCACAGAGCTACAGTTTTCCCTGTTATGTCTTTCCCTTGTTATGTCTGGATATATAGGAGTCTTCTAAGTCTAATGCCTGGGGCCTGGTGGGCTATGTAATGTCTGCCTTTTCTTTCTCTATGTCCCAGTAGAGAGTAGGATAAGGAGAGACGTGATTCCTAGTACACTCAGTGTGTATTTGGGGGTGGGAAGAGTGGAGTATGGAAAAGTGAGTCTGTGTCTATGCTTGTGTGTGTGTGTGTGTGTGTGTGTGTGTGCATGCGCTTGTGTATGTTGTGGTGTTTGGTGAGGACACACTCCAAGATCTTATAAGAAATCACTGCTTTCCCGCTGTTTCTAAACTCATTCTCTGCTCCTCTCATCCTGCTGCCTTTGCCCATAATTTGCCATTTCATTCTCAGCACTCTACCTGCTTTTTCAACAATCCTTAGCCCTGGGTTTTTGGCTTTGATGCTTTCTCTGACAAATCAAGGCAGTGGAGACCTGCTTCCCACTCCTCTTCAGCTAGTGGATCCTGTCCTTAGGGGGTGATCAAATAAGGCTTATCCAGGAAATAAGCGGAAACAGGTAGTAGAAGAGTAAATCCTACATTTGGGAGAATCTGCTTCCTTAGTAAAGTGATCATTATTTCCCCCTTGAAGCCCATGCCAAATAAGCTGAGGAGGGACCTGGGAATCTCTATAACCTACCTTTCTATTTCCTCTGCAGCTGCAAAATCCCAAAAAACAAAAAATTCTGACCAGGATGATCAGGGACCCAGCAGAAAGCCACAAAAAGAAAACCCAGCTGCACAGCTTCTTGGAGAAGCAGCAATCAATGGTAAATTATGTTTCCTGAATTAGGTTGTAATGCCATTCCCAGAATGGCAATACTCTAGTCAGTGTCATGCTCATTGAGACTGGTCCCTGACCACGAATTATTTCTTTCCTTCAACTGAGCTTGTAATCTGAGACCAGATAGGATGGTTCCAAAGGGGGTAATCACACTCCAAAGGTGCTGGCTCAGTCAGTAAGTGAGAGGGAAAGTGCAAAAGAGAGGGGTTAAATTAGGAAGTGGTGGGACTAAGGGAAAAATATAATGATGATGAGGATGAGGATGATGATGATGAGGATGATGATGATGATGATGATGATGGAGGGTGGGTAGACACATGTAGGAGTAAGGAGCTCAGAAAAATGTGTGAGAGAACCAGCAAGTAGAGGTAGAGTACCTGGCTGATCAATGGGGCCAAGAGTAACTAGATGGTGGGGCAATGAAAAGGTAAGATATAAGCAGATAATGTTGAGAGCAGAGACAATAAAACCAGAGGCATGAAAGGCCTATATATTGCTTTTCTTAAGAAAACAAAAACAAAAACAAAAACAAAAACCTTTTCAGAGACAATCAATAGCTTAGTAGAGCTATTCTTTGCATTAGGGTATTGGCAAGAATCTGCTAGTTTTAAATCAGACACATCTAGACAGACAGACTCAAGAAAAAAGGTGGAGTAAAAGGTCGAAAATGTGTTATTTGATGAAACACCTCATTTAGGCCCCACACGATAAGAGTCCTTGCTTGGTGAAAAGATGTCGTGGTCAGGTAGTTAACTCTGAGAGTCTACCAGCAAGAACCATACAGGCCTGAGACTCAATTTCAATAGGCATGGAAGAAGAGGGGAGGTACTCCAATGAGTCATAGAGATTGTGCTAGTATTTTCTCAGGGGTTGAGAAGACACTGAGTGGTGAGGAAATAGAAACATTGGTTATAGGCAGCTTTATCATGTTTATAGTAAAGAAGAGTGATGGGTGGCTGTACTGGTGAATGCTTAATGATCAGATTCCCCCCAGCCTCCCAAAAGTATGTATAACACACTTTTTTGGGGAAGTAATTAATAATCAATTTATTAGGCTAGCTAATAATCAATAAATTGATGATCAGTAGTTTCGTTGGTAACCAAAGATCCCTAACAGAGACACTGAAGGTCTTAAATATTTTTTGAAAGAGAATGCACCTGACAGGAGAAATCAATCCTAATTGGTAGAAATAATTTTTATAATTTTTTTATTTTCCCCAATTACATGTTAAATCATTTTTAACATTTTTAAAAAAGTTTTGAGCTCCAAATTATATCTCTCCCTCCCTTTCCTCCCTTTCCTTGAGATGATGCACAACACACTTTTAAGTTTAATCTACTATATTGATATTTTCTCTATCACTTTCTAAAATCTAGACAATCAAGAAAACAATAAATCAAGCTCTGACTTAAAATATTGCAAAATTTTCAAGTGTAATTATTTGCACTGAAAATTTCACAATCTGTTCTCATAAGTCTGTTCAAGCTGGCTCTCGCATACCCCAGGGATGGATCTGTAGCTCTTTTTTCCTCTCCTTTCCAGTCTTCCTCCTTGCAGGGTAATATTCCTCACCCTGCATCATCCTTGCAAAACTAGGCCCAACACCTCTACTTTAGCCAGATATAGCCCTGTCTGGGAAAATATTTCTTCTGGAAAAAGGAAGGCTGAGCAGTTTCCTTATTGATCCCGCACCTCCATACTAACATAACCCACTTTGCCTAACAAATTAGGTCTTGCTTCTCTTTCTTTGAACTGAAACTTACCATCTCTTTCCCTGTCCATCACTGATCACTTTCTGCTTCTCTCCATGAGACTCCACTCTGTTACTTTCTCCAGCATGAATAGAGTTAATGGAACTTACTCTGTTGTAACCCAGGAGGTGGGGAGGCAGCATGATTTAGTGGAACACACATCAGCTCTGGAGTCAGAGCATGTGAGTTTGACCTTCCTTCCCCCATTCCATACGTCTTGTCCACATTAACTTGGCTAAGTCATTGGATCTCCTTGGACCTCAGTTTCCTCACCTATAAATTGGGAGGTTTAAACTAGCTGGCCTCTGAGGTCCCTTCCAGTTCTTAGTCTGTGATCCTATCTTATGATCAGGGCAAAGATCTCATTATGTCTCTTTCATCATTATTTCTCTCTCTCTCTCTCTCTCTCCTATACCAGCAGGAAAAGGTATATACTCCTCCCAGAGATCTTACAACCACATTGGTCAAGGCTTAGGAAGAGTGAGAGAGTGAGTGGGTTCTTTGGTCAGGATAGCTGAGTCTTGGGCTTTTTCTAGGGATGTGACCAGCTTCTCTTAATAGTCATGTGGGGGACCCTACCCTGGTCTGGACAATGAAATAAGCACATTGAAACTTAGTGAAGCATCTGTGTCATGTGCAGATCCTGATTAGAGTTGGGTTAAGGAAGGATTTTGACCAGCCTGGTTCATAGCCTGTGCTGGGATAGGCCCAGTGATAAAGGATAATACATAAGGTGATAAAGGATGAAATATAAATTCTATTTATTATCTGCTCTGTTGTATTTTGACAGGTAGGGATCTCAGGGATAGTAGAGTTGAATTACATTGTTGTGATAGGGAAGGAAGTAGGATTGGGGCTGGGTATAGAGCTGGGGTTAGCACTAGACCTGGGGCAAGGGTTATGCCCATTGCTGGGCTTGGACTCCATGTCTCCAAGATAAGCATCTCTCTTATGTGGGAGTCTCCTCCTGTATCTCTGACATAGGGTCTTCTGTCACTGTCAGATTATCGAGACATCTACATAGCTCACGTGAAAGAAATGCTGCAGACTATGGATGAAAAAGATGCTCCCTTCAGGCCTGGTCAAGGGTACCTCCAGCTTCAACTGGAACCTCTAAGTCAACGCAATTCAAATAGCATCAGTCTTGAAAGCCTGTTTGATTCTATTACAAACACATCCAACGCTCCTCAGACTGTAGTGCTGGAGGGGCCTGCAGGCATTGGAAAGTCAACGCTTGCTAAGAAGGTCCTTCAGGGCTGGGCAGCTGGCACCCTGTACCCTGGCAGGTTTGATATATCTTCTACATTGGCTGCCAAGAGGTGAGCCTTCTGAGGGAAAACAGTGTCGACCATCTCATCACTCTGTTGTGTGGGAATAATAATGCCCCCATTACTGACATTCTCAAGCAACCACAGAAGCTCCTATTTGTTCTGGATGGACTTGATGAGTTAAATTTCCTTTCTGCTGAGCAAAGTCCCAATTTCCATTCTAGAGTCAAGGAAAAGGAATCTGTGCACATCCTTCTGGATAGTTTAATCCAAAAGGAGCTGCTGCCACAGTCAACTCTGCTCATCACAATCAGGCCCCCAGCTCAAGAGAAACTAAGACCTTGGCTAATGAATTCATGCCCTGTCAAAGTGCTAAGCTTCTCCCAGAAGCAGAAGAAGGAGTATTTTTACTTGTATTTCCTGAATGGGGACCTGGCAAAGAAGGCCTTTGATTTTATACAAACAAACAAGGCCATCTCTGATGAGTGCTGTGCCCCTCTCATGTGCTGGATTATCTGCTGCTGGATAAAGCGACAGTTGGAACAAGGAAAGTCTTCCACCAAGGCCCTCAAAAACAGGACTGACATCTACATGGCTTATATTTCCACTTTTCTGCCAACTGAGAAAAGTTTATCCAAGCCCACTCAGCATTTTGCCCTGCGAGGCCTGTGCTCCTTGGCCGCAGAAGGCATCCAGAGGCAGAAGATCCTGTTTACAGAGGGAAACCTGAGGAGGCACAGCTTAGATGGGGTGGACGTCTCCTCAGTCCTGAATGTGAGTGGTTCCCAAGCAGGGCTTGGTGGCACAATGTTGTATAACTTCAGACATCTTAGCTTCCAGGAGTTCTTCAATGCCATGTTCTACCTACTGGAGGAGAAGATTTCTGACAAGGAAATCCAGAATCTGAAGGAGGTGATGGAGAAACAGGAGGCATCAGGGACTGTGCAGTTTCTCTATGGGCTCCTAAAGAAAGAGAATGAAAAGAATCTGGAGTTAAAGTTCAGCCTCCGAGTCTCACTGCCACTAAGGAAGGAGGTGGAGATATTAAGAACAACAGTGGATAGAGTGAAAAATGCTATATCCCAGATATGTAGAAACTGTGAAGAAAAATTGCCCAGTAAGCCATTTTCTTCCTCTTTTCAAATGACCACCAATTCTTGAAAGTTACCATAGACCACTAGGAGCTCTGTTTCTCAGTTGTAAGCACACAGCCAAAGTCCTAGAGCAGCACTCTCATTTCCCCTTTATTCTAGTGTCTGGTCCCACCTCCTCCCTTATCACCCATAGCAGAGCCAACTTCTTTTTCTGCAACCAGGACCCTATCCCTGTTCATAGCCACTCCATCCCATATTTCATCACATTCTGTGTCCAACTGGTAGTGTATTCCCCTAGCACATACACATAAACATACATGTAAGCAAACACAGTCACACAGACTCAACCATGCACACAGACATACATAAGCATAGTCATATCATATATATGACTATATTATGTATACACAAATACATATATACATATCTATACATATATACAAGATATATAGATGGATAGACAGATAGAAATAGACATATACATAATAGATGTAGACCTTTGGGCATATGATCACACAAACATATCGAATTATAACATAAACAGAACACACAAAGGTAGGAGGCATAGTTAATGCATTGGGTGACAGAGTTGGAAGCCAAAAAAATCTCAACAGGTTGGGACACTGGGGTAAAAATAAAACCATGATGAAAAGGTCTGGGCCCAAGCTTTAGAAGTGGCTAAATAGGAATTTGCAAGAATCTGGGTTTTTTTTTTAATTGGATTGTAATCTCAGTATGAATCAACCAGTGTATTATGGCAGTAAAAAAAATCTGGTAGAAATCTGGACTCCATTAAATGATGCATAGCTGTGACTAGCAAAGAGGGGACAATCTCATTGTACTCTTTCCTAGTCAGACCACATCTGGATCATTGGACCCAGTTTTGAGTCTGCCATTTTAGTAAGATATTTAATAAAGTGGAGATTGTTCAGAGGGCAGCCAGGATAGAAAAGGAACTCCAGGATGAGTATGAGAATTGGTTGAAGGAGCCAGAGCTGTTTGGTCTGAAGAACAAAGGTGTAGGAGAAAGATAATAGCTGTGGTCAGTTCCTTGAAAGGCTATTCTATGGAGTAGGGATTAATTTTGTCATTTGGGTTCCAAAGGGCAGAACCAGGAACTATGGGTAAAAGCAGCAGGGAGGAAAATTTAGGATTAATGGAAGGAAGAACTTTCTAATAGTTATAGCTTTCCCAAAGAAGAATGAATTGTAAGATAACTAGTTCCCTTCACAGCAAGTTTTTAAGGAAAGTCTGGATGGCGAATTATGATGTATGTTGTAGAGGTGACACTTGTTCAAGTCTGGGTTGGACTAGGTATCCAGTGAAATCCCTTTCACCTCTGAAGCTCCATGATTCTGTGTGATGAACATAGACGCACGCACACATGCACACACACACACACATACATACATATATATATATAAACATTCACAAACATATTCAACAGAGGCACAAACACACAAACGTGCAAACACATTGCCATAGACTTATATATAGATGGAGATATTGATGTACCTAGACACCTGAGCACACAAAGGATCTCTGACAATTTCCTCTTATTTCCCAAGTGAGACCTGCTTTCTCTGAGAATACCATAGTCCTAAGCTGTTGGGAGGCTGTACCAGTAAGGTGGACTGCCCTACTTTGTCTCAGTAGATATCCTAGCCTTTGGAATATACTTTTTTTTTTTTTGGTTAGGCAATGGGGTTAAGTGACTTGCCCAGGGTCACACAGCTAGTAGGTATTATGTGTCTTAGGCTGGATTTGAACTCAGTTTCTCCAGAATCCAGGGCCAGTACTCTATCCACTGCACCACCTAGTTGCCCCAATATCAGGATTTTGGGGGGGGACCTAGGCAATTGGGTTTAAGTGACTTGCTTAGGGTTACACAGCTAGTTAAGTGTCAAGTGTCTGAGGTCAGATTTGAACTCAGGTCCTCCTGACTCCAAGGCCAGAGCTCCATCCACTGCGCCACCTAGCTGCCCCAATATCCTAGCCTTTGCAAGAAGAATTGTGTGTTGCCTTGGTGTAGGAGTCAGGACCCTAGCTAGCTCCCACACTTCTTAGGAAGAGTTGCAGGTGAGCCTAAGCTGGAATCATTAAGGCTAAGGAGGAGTTTGTTTAAGTGACCATCACTGAACATATTTCTATCTCTTGCTGTGACTCAAATTATCACAACTGAGTCATGACCTTTGCTTAAAAGCTTTCCTTGTTGTCCCTATTTCTTTGTTCTGTTCTTTCATTCCTGGGTGTCCTCAACTGTCAAGTCTTCAAATGTATGAGTTAAAATATGCCAAATAAAAGCCTCTTGCTTTTAGCATCAGTGCATGATTTGACTTTTTTATGTGGGCCTCCTAAACCCCCCAAACTGCTGCCATAGAATAAGGAACTCTAATATTGAAATTTTGATTTTGACTTTTTATCATTTATTTTACTTTTCTCCTAAGTCATTTATTAAGTGTTTACCATGCACCAAGCACTGTGCTAAGTTCTGGGAATACCAAATACAAACAAAAGGAAAACATAGCCTCTGGCCTTAAGGAGCTTACATTCTGATGGAGGAAGACAACACATCAAAGTGGAGAAGGAGGAGGGGAATATGGAAAAGTCCTGGAGAATGTGAAGGTGAACTGGGTTAGAAGTGACCATGGCTGGTATGGATACTTTCTGACATAGAGATTATTTACATAAACCACTTTGCAGACCTTAAAGTACTATATAAATGTCAGATATTCATCATCATCATCACCATCATTTTATTAGACTTAGTTACAGTCAGAACATCTCTAGGGGAGCAAACATAGGAAGAAGGCTCAATTCTATAGGGAGGAAAGGAAAGAAAAGGAGGAGTTGAGCCACCAGATTCCTGGGCCCCATAGAGCAGGGAACCAAGAGGGGACCCAAGGTGTCAGCCGGTCTCTTTTCAGCTGCTAAACAGGAGACAAGAAGTAAGAGCTGAGATCCCAGGCTCTTGCTCCTTTCACAGCAACCAAGCAAGTGAATGAAAGTTGAGGCAGAGCCAGTAGGCTGCTGTGCCCTGTGGCCCAACCAAAAAAGAGCAAGGCAGGAGCAGAGTGAGCAACCAAGGATAGGGCCTTTGAGTAGGAAAAACTGCTGAAAGCTGCTGGATGGGGGAACTTCTCTCCCATCCAGCCGTTGTGTATCTTTGAACACAGAGTTTCTTCTATCTCTGTTGTGTTTATTCCTTGGTGATTTTAGGAGAATTAATATCAGAAATGGAATAGACCAGATTTTTACTTTGTAAACTTCAAAAGGTTGAGAGATCCATTGGAGATCCAGAAACTGGGGTCAGTAATAGAGTCTGTTGGTAGCTACAACCGCCAAGGAGCACCTCCTACACCAGCCATACCACACATAGAAGTGAGTTTGGTGGGACTACTAACAAGGGGAAACAGAATTCATGAAAGCAGGAAGTTTCTGCCATGTATATCATGGAGGAGAATGGGGGAATCTTTTGTAACAATCATTTAAATTTTAGCAAAGGATAACAAGTAGCCTATATATTACATTTTAACCCATGAAATATTAAAAGATATAGCAAGAACTCTAACATGTTGGATCTATCCCCTGTGGAAGATTTATGGGAACATGTGGACAAGAATCATATAGGATGAAATGGTATAGCTGGGTTGTAGATTGCACTAGGGATAGATTGCTCATATTAATAAAACCATGGATACGTTGATATATTGAAGAAGAACGTGGGAAAAGCTATATGGCAGTTATAAGATCATAGGATTATAGATTTGGAGCTGGCAGATAAATTAAAGGCTATCTAATCCAAATCCTTCATATTACAAATGAGGAAATGGAGGCAAAATTGTGTGGAGCAATACTCCTAATATCACGTAGGTAGTGAACACAGGATGTGAATCCAGGTCACCTGATTCATGTGAAAATGAGAGATAAGTTGGACAGTCCAAGTGGTACATTTTTTTTTGTTTGCTTCTAATGCAGATCTGTATCTAACATATATTATATGCAGATCTGTATCTAACATATATCCCATATTATATGGGATCTACTGGCCTATGTGTGGCATATTAATGCTAAAATAATAATAGCTAACATTTATATAGAACTTACTCAGTGCCAGCCACCGTTCCAAGCCTGTCACAGACTAGATTAAAAAGTACTGAAAAATGATAAAAAATATGGGGCCCATATTTGAGATTGAAAATGGGTTACAGGGATCCTAAGTGGCCCCTGTGTAGTAGGGATTTATATTTATATAACTCTAACCCACTCAGTCTCTGGGAAGGAGCAAGAGGAAGGCTGATGGCTGAGTGCTCACTCTTTCACTCTCTTATCTCCAAGAAGAATATTGAGTTTGAATTATATCTATTTATTATATATCAGATATTTACAATCTAAGGGTATGATGTTCTTTTTTGGGGGGGGTGGTTCACTTTGGAAGCCCCTTTCCTTGGCTGCTCCAAAGGAAAGGGGATTTGTCAATCTATTCTCAGCCAGCTTAGTTTTTCCCCATCAAATGCTTATTGCACACACACATACATCATCATCATCATCATCATCATCAATAGAGAGCAAACATTTATGAAAGCAAGTTATAAAACAGTAATCAGGCAAGTCATATAGGTTAGTTTAGAAGAGGAAAGAGGATCTTTAAGTCAAGAATGAGACAAAATCTCAGTATAACCAAGGAGTTGCTTATCTCACCTAAGAAGTCAATTCTTAGTAGTCTTTGAGGGGGTACAGGTTCAGGGAATCATGGAACATGATAGAGTGCTGGCTTCCCCACATACCTGGAGTTCTGAGGATACCTCCTAGTCACCATTCAATGCCCAGCACCTTGTCCCTTTCCTCTCTTTTTATCCGCTTTGCTCCTTTAAGTCTCTTCTCTGATCAGGACATCTTTTCCTCTTAAATACAGCATCATGGATTTGTCCTGTGAAGAAAAAAACCTGGAAAGGATTTGAGCTACATAATTTTCTTCGACATTCTGAGTTTTATATATGTCAAGAAACCTGAACATTTCAATATAAAAATACCTAAAAAAGAATATTGTATAAGAAATTGTGAATCTCATTATTTACAGCAATTTTTCATTCTTTAAATATATGTGTGTGTATACACACACACACGCACATACACACACTAATAGTTACAAAAGCTGTCCTTATTCATTCCTCTAAACCTAATTCTGTTCTCTTCTGTGCATTTAAAATGTTTATTAATATTATTTCCTTTCCTTTGGCCATTAACATATTAAAGAATTCTCTGGTTATGTATTTGAACCAGACCTTTATGAAAAAACCCTATTGCAAAGATTTACCTCCACCCCAGTCAAGTTAACTGTTACACTTCATATTTTTTTTTGTTTATGCCAAAGCTTTTTAATTTTCTGTAATCAAAATTGTCAGTTTTCTCACCTATTATTATCTCCATTCCCTGTAACCTACTTGGTATATTCTTTGTCTCTTTTTTATATAGAAATGTTTAGAGATATAAATTTCTCCCTATGAACTGTTTGGCTGAATCATAAAAAAAATTTGTTATGTTGTCTCAATGTTCTCATTGTTTTTAATGAAAATATCTGTTATTTCTATGATTTGTTCTTTTATTCACCCATTTTTTAGGAATAAATTGTTTGGTTTGCACTTCATTTTTAATACTTTTCCCAAGGTCTCTTTATTTAATTTAATACATATTGCACTAGGATCAGTAAAAGATGTGTTTAATATTTCTTTTTTTCTGCACTTGTGAAGTTTTTACAACCTGATAAATGGTCATTTTTTTTATAAAAGTGCTATGCACAGCCAAGAAATATATATATATATTCTCATTTATTATTTAATTCCTATTTCTATTTAATAATCACCAGAGATAATAATATTTAAATTTTCTAAAGCCCTATTCAGATACTTAACTTCTTTCTTGTTTATTTTGTGCTTAGATATGTATGTATTAAATTGGAACTTTGAACTTCTTTTTTCTTATAATTTTCTTATCTATTTTTCCCTAAAACTCATTTAGCTTTTCCTTTCAGTATATAGGTTAAGTACATCTAGGTTAAATACTGATATTAATTCATTTCCTATGTTACTTTCTATGTATATATATATATATATATAGTTTCATTGTTTATCTCCTTTAATCAAGTCTATTTTTGCTGTTGACTTACTTGAGATCACAATTGCTACTCCTTTTCTGAGTTCGGCTGAAGCATAATAATTTTCGCTCCATTCCTAGCCCATTTTAACTCTGTGATTTTATATGTTGTGTGTTCTTATAAGCAATGTATTGTTGATTCCTGCTTCCTAGTTCACTTTATGTGTGAGTTCATCCCCTTCATATTCATAATTATGATTATTGTGTATTTCTCTCTTATTCTTTCATGCTTTTTCTTCTCATTCCTTTGCCACTCTTTATGAAGCAGAAGAATGTAGGGTAGGAGAGAAAGGTGCTCAGCACAAATTCTCTGTATTTGATACAATTATCTTCCTCAACCCTATCCTTCTCATTCTCTCATCTAGACTCCAGGCTTATGTTCTTATCCTTTCTTTCTTCTTAAAATACAACTTCATAATTACCCCTAAAAGGTTAGAGATCATTGTGCTTATGACTAATTCTTCCCTGAATTTACCTGTCTTCTTATTCCTCCCCTCTTTCTAATGACTTTTGTTTCTCTGTTGAGTTGAATGTATTTCTAGACCAAACTTTTTTGTGTGTATATGTATATGTAGTTTGTTCAGATATCTTTCCTTTTCACTCCTGTCTCAAGTGATCAATGTAATACAAGGGGTAGGAGATGGGGAACTTTCTACAAATAGACAAATTTTTAGTGAAATATGAGTCTATTTTATTAACTGAGAATATAGGGGAAAGGAGTGCCATGGGAAACTTTAGGAGAGATGATAAGTTTAAGAACTGATGCTGGGGAGAGTGGGGAACATATTGCTTTAAGCTTTGATTACAGGGATAGTTGTCTGAATTGTCAGGAAGCCAAAAGTAGAAAATGGCAGGTGCTGCCATCTGTTTAAAGGTGAATGTCTGTGCCTGTGAAAAGTTTTGGGGATGACCTCAGACATAGCCTAGGTAGGATTCCCCTAATTCTATTTTTCCATTTTGTTGTTCCTTTCAGAAAAGGAAAATTCCCCACCTGGTTAATCCTACATGTGACTACATGATTGGCTGTCAGATATGACTCACACTTGGAATCAAACAAAGCTAATGGAATTCCCACACCCTCCCCTGTTATGATATATGTCATTGTTATAACTATGTCCCTCTTTTTCCTTTTATAACAAATTGATATAATCAATAAATTTTGTAAGTATGATACAAAATCTACTAAGTAATAGATTGACACTGGAACATCTCTAAATTACTATAATAGGATAGTAGGATGCATGTAACAGTTTCAACCTATATTTGTGGTCAAATTATAATATAGGGATGGTATCCTCCAAAGGGGGAAATGATTAGACAAAGTAATAAGACAAAGATGTAATGTAAAATTTTCTAATTAAATGGAATAGTAAATTTTGAGAAAACAACAGGATTAGACTAACCAATTAATGAAGCAAGGTAGTATTTTGCAAATGCCTACTATGTACCCAAAACTGTGCAAGGTGTTGGGAATAAAAAAAAGAAAAGAGTTGAGCTAATTCTTGAAGGAAACTAAGGGATATGGGAAGCAAAAATTAACAATGAGAACATAACAATTATGTAGAACAAAGGCATGGGGATGGGAGATAGAATGTTGTCTATAAGGAAGACTAAGTAAGGTCAATATGCCTAGACCAAAGAGGGCATGGGGGGTAGGAAAGTGCTGTAAGATTAAAAAGGTAGATTGAAGTCAGGTTATGAAGAGAAGTTCCAAAATAATTGCTGAACAGAGGAGTTTATATTTGAGTTTACTGAATAGAAAGGTGATGTAGTCCAATCTGAGTTTTAGCAGAATCACTTTTATGTCTATTTGAAGGACAGATCAGAATGTCCTCCAAGAATTGAGGATATACATTCATAGGGGCTGTTATGGAGGGATCATACAGCAAAGGTCAGAGGAATAAGAGTTGAGTAGGTCTACTTGGTGAAAACTTGCTTAGGTGGTTACATGTAAACTGATGAACAGTAATAGGAGGGACTTCTGTCTTTCTAGGAAATCTCACAGAGACCCTCAAAAGGCCTTTCAAACTGGATGATTACTACCTGTCTCAGGCAATTCATGGGGATATAAATGATACTGATGAATGAATCTTGAAAGCATTGCTAAGTATTCTGAAGTCTTAAGTAGGAAACAAAGATGGCAAAAGTAAATGGGGTGTGGGTGTACGTATTTTTAATCACTGCTGCAGATTGTCAAGAAGTCCTTCAGAGGAGAAGGTAGAATATAAAAGTGAACAAAAAATTGAGAAGGTACCACATAGAAGGATGGATTGAAATATAGAAATTATAGACTCCTGGCCTGGGGCATAACTCAACTAATAAGGACTGATAAAAAATTTTTTTTGCCAGGAACCTTGTGAATCAAAGTAAAATGGCATTAAACTGGAATGGAAGAAGAAGAGCTCTCTCCTACCTATTTCCCTAATCTATACACTATAGAAAGTCGGTAGATGAATGGCAGTACAGAAATGCAGACATTTAAAGGAGATGAAAAGCAAGAAAGAACTGGACTATAAAACTCATGGTCTAAGAGCCAACATATAAATGATCATAGTAAGGGGAAGGAGTAATGAGGATAGGAAGTCCTATCCCTAGGAGGCAAATTTGATTGCAAAGGTATGACTGAGACTTGCAGGGATGAGAAGTGGTTCTAAGAGAACCTATTTCAAAGGGTTAAGTAAAAGGATTGGTAAGAATTCATTGTCTAAATTTCTAAGGGGAAGGTCACCTGATGTGAGATGGGATGTTTCAAGAGTAGAGTTCTAAAGTCAGAAAGAGAAACAATCCTAATGAGGAAGAAAAAGGGGAATTGCATAAAGAGAGAGAAGGATACACAAAATCAATCAGCTTGGTGGACAGTTTTAGCAAGGCTAAGAGGTAGATTCAAACCCAGATTTTCCTAGATTCCAATTCCATTGTTCTTTCC